ACCTAGTGCCTCATTGAGACTCTCCGGCAGATTCAGAGCTACAGCCCATCAGGGCACAGCCGAGTCCAGCATGCACACAAGAGTAGTCTACCATCCGACTTATTTCAGAGTGCAAATGTTGATAAAAGTTGTCAGGTAGACTGAGTGTCGGTGTCGGCCGTGGCGGCCGAGTCAACCATAGATATTGCATCGAACAGCATTGGGTGGTGAACCGCTCTGTCAGCCCGTCCTTTTTTTTGCACACAGCAAGTAAGGCTACCCGGCACCACGCGTGACGATATTTTCGGTTGTGGCGTTCATGATTAAGCGCGGGCTGGGTTGCTGTCAGGGTGCCCACACCTAGACAGAACAATTAGGTTTACCAGTCAGAACATTTGACTCAAAAGCTTGGCCGCGAGGCAGAGGATGGGTGCCGACAAACTACTAAAATAGTACACTTTTTTAAGGAACAAGTAGCTGGAACAAGTGCCTGTTCCAACTCCCGACCTAGAGGAATAGGAAACTGTTCGTCAAACGTCTATTCACTGACCGAACGGGTTATGGGAAACTTCGGGTATCAAAGTGAACCCTCCCAACGAGGATAAATCAGTGGGTCATAGAACTACTCGAACCACCACATCGCGATAGGCTCCGGTCTCTCTGCAGTGTGCTAGAATCGGTCAAAACCACCGAAATCGTCGAGATCCGGATTCCACTCAAAACAGTGCAGATAGACAGCCTTGAAAGCCTTGATAATAACTCTTACGTTAGCTTACCTCATCAATATACTTACCACTGGTATTTTACTGGCTAACTACTAAAGTGTACTTGGGCTAGCTGATCGGGATGGCCCAAGTGGTTAAAGCGAGAACTTACTGACCGGAAGATCTGTGGTTCGAACCTGACCTCTGTCTCTCAACTTCCCCTGTCTAAGCTTGGGAAACCTGGCAGTATCCCAGCCCTCGTGCAACCTTCGGGTGGCATGGCAGTTAGGTACTGTAAAGGGTGCTACAGCTGAACTTGGGCTAGCTCAAATCGATACTGCCGCGCTATGATAGTTTTCCGGAGATGGTGAGTTGACCTACCTCCTGTCGACCTGCACGAACTTACGTGCCCGCACCATCGCGTCGGCGGAATCAATTTGTTTGCGCCGAAATGCACGGCAGCCTTGGATCGAAGTCGTCAGCCGGTAGGTGATCATACGTGATCCGATTGAATCCACCGTTTATTTGATCAAAAAACTACCGGATACACTCCGGGTGTCGCATATGGCATTGGATTCTCATGGAAACCTGTGATAAAATGCTGGCACAAAAAATATCGATCGGGACGTTCGTCTGTCATCTCGTTCGAGTGAATCATTCTGAATCGGATGACTAGGCAAGCTGGATCTCGGCACTCGACATCATTGCAGGTGTGCGTCAAGCTCTCTTCATACCGTCAATCTTCGCCCTATAGTGTGCGCGCATCTGTTCTGTGCCAGATAGGGTATCGGGTCCTGTGAACCTGCACGCAGTTCTCATAGCGTTTGCTGAACTGAGAAGTCTTACTCCAGCTGCTTGTTTGCAACCAACCAAAGATGAGCGGTGCAGTTTTTTCACCCCTTCCGGTTGATCTAACCCCGTATAAATCAACAATGGTTGTGGATTTCGCTTACAAGAAATATTCAGGTTGGCCTGCGTTCTACAAACATGCTGAGAGACAGCAGGTCGCAGTAGAATATAACAGTTCGATTACAAACACATCAGTAGTCACTACAGAGGTGAAATGACCCGAGTGGTTAGAGCGCGAATCTACTAACCAGAAGGTCCGTGGTTCGAATCCGACCTCTGCCTCTCGACTTCCCCTGTCTAGGCTTGGGCAACCTGGTAGTACCCCAGCCCTCGTGCAACCTTCGGGTGGCATGGCAGCTAAGCACCGAAGGGGTGCTACAGATGACCGATTTTTTTAGTTTTCACCACATCGCAGCCACTAGTTGTAGACGTCGCGAACGTCTACCAGTTGGGTCGTGCTAGGTTAAGCTGATGCCGTAAATACGACAACATCATCTTACTGTATATTAAGCCTGTACGTTGAATGCTGTCACAGATTTCCTTAACTTCATACAGCCTCTCTGTGACTAAGTGGAAAATCGTTTTAAAAAATCGTACAACTGTAACACCCTTTTGGTGCCTAGATACCATGCCAACCGAAGGAAGCACGGGGGCTGGGGTGCTGCCAGGAGAAGTCGGTTGGCAGAGGTCGGGTTCGATCCACGGACCTTTCGGTCAGTAAATTTGCGCCCTAACTACTGAACCATCCCAGTAGCTCAGTGGTGGCGAGATGTTTGCAATAAAATTCCTGAGCTCAATGAGGTACGCAAGCATCAGCTTTTCTTGAATCCCCTCCACCAAGCTGAGGCCCATCCAAAAGCTGCTTTTAGCCGGATGTAGTAGTGAACAAATCTGTCATGGAAATTCTAGCCACTCGTTCTTTTTTTTTGTGGGCGGGGCACAGATTCAATCCCACCACATCCCTGTTGGTATTTAGGAAGTAAGCTCCCAGGAAGCAAAGCCCTTCAGGGTCACATATTTGGGGGGTTCTAAGAAATCCCATTCGGATTGTCCTTTCCGCTATTCGAGCAAGCAACTGAGTACTATCTTTGACAACTGTTAGTAACATATCACAACCTGTAGTGAGTTTGTTACAGTAACTGTTCTTCCATGCGTGGGCTCATCAACACAGGTATAGTGAACGATTTCTCGACTTCATTCAGTCAAACCCATGGGTCTTTCCTTTGAGAGACTAAAATCCTCTTGTCAACGAAGTTAGTGGTTTCTGGAGTGGATTACAGAGGTCTGTCACTGAATGTACCTCAAGTGATGCAGAACGCTAGCCAGTCGATCTCTGCTCCCCGGAACACACATCGCTCGCATTGGGCGGGGAATACACTCTCTAGGAGATTGAAGCCACACTCGGCTAATCCCCAGGGGCAGCCCATGCGACACTGACACCTAAACACACCAAATGTGCACATCGCAGCGACCAGGTGGTGAAATCACTTTTCACCCGTTTAGGCAAAAGAACATCATTGTGCTAAAATCTGAAAACAAATTCTCATTCATGAAGGAAACTACTCACAAGGTTGATGAAAACTGTTCGACAGCCCACGACTGGTTTTGCCGTTCTTGGGGCTCATGAGGTAGGCTCACTCCCCGAGTTTCCGTCAACCTTATCTTCTACCTGAAACCTAGTTGGACTGGTTTCGAGAAATACACTCATTTGCAAACCAACTAAAACATGCGGTGGCCTGTGTGCAGCACCTTCAGTTTTAGAATATCATAAACGAGAGGTTCAACCAAATTTGCTTGCAAATGAGTTTTTCTCGAAAATTCTCATCCATCTTTATGGTTCACCGAATACTGGTAAAGTGTGATAGTTATCTCATTCCCTGCTTCAAACATTAGCATTTCTCTGCTTATCGCGGTTGGGGCGTGGTCACATCAACAGTGATAAAAAGATGTGACCACCTCGAATATTAATAGAAAGCCTCTCCTATTGCCTGGTGAATGTTCCTTGCAGGACAGTTCTTCTTGCGTCAATGTGCGTTTAGGGTTACTTTTGAGGAATTAAGGGTCTACCCTCTTTGCCCATTGTTTCTTATACCAAATTAACCTTTGTAATTCATATCCTTATGTAGAGATAGTGGACCTATGTGCTGCCACATGGAAACCGTGATTGACTTTTACCGGTCTAAAACGATTCCGGGAATTAACACCTGGACTTCCCGTCCACTATAGATTTTCACCCGTACGGAACTTTGGACAGGAATACTTGCCTTTTTTCTCCACACGCTTCACCTCTCATGGAACACTAAAGATATTTTGTCGGGTGTTCAAAAAAAACGATACAACTGTAGTAGCAACAATAAGTGTGTGTGTGTTGCACGCTTATGAACATATTTTGTTCAGGGCACAATACTACTTATAAGGGGTGTTGGAAACTGTTGGACAGCCTACTACCGTTTTTGACCTTCTTGGGGTTCATCGGGTAGATGTGGTTCATGAGCCTTGTCTTCCAAATGAACACCAGTTTGTACATGTACATCCAATCGATATAGCTCAATGGTTAAGACGCTGGCTCACGGGCCACAAAGTCCGTGGTTCGAATCCAACCTCAGCTTCTCGACTGCTCCTGCCTAGGCTGGGGCAAACTGGCATTATCCCAGCCCTCGTGTCTCCTTCCGTTGGCATGGCGACTAGGCACCAAAATATTGTAACAGCTAAGCGACTTACCTTGTACTCAACTCTGATCCAGTTGCATGTACCATCAGCGTTGATGAAGAGGTTATTGTTAAACAGCTATCAACAGCCAATGACTGCAACCCAATTCTGTTATGTCCGGATGGCTCGTGCACTCTTCCCTTCTGCCTGTGATACTCTTCGTCCCATCAGGCAGTTTTGTGTGGATGGTCACCGTACACTTATGGAACATCAGACGTATTTTGGCAAAGCTTTCTGACAGCGAGCTAATTCCATCTATTCTACGTGTTCCAGAATTGAATTCATCGCCAAGAACAGAATTGCATGGCAATCGATCCAGATTTTGATAACGAGTCAACTAGCGATGTTTTTTCTGGTCAAAACTAGCAGGTGCAAGCTTTTCACAGTGAACACTGACAGTGAAAAAAATAGTTCATCCGTAGTACCCTTCTAGTGCCTAACTGCCATGCCACCAGAACGTTGCACGAGGGTTGGGATACTGCCAGGTTGCCCAAGCCTGGACAGGAGAAGTCGAGGGAGAGAGGTCGGATTCGAACCACGGACCTTCCAGTCAGTAAGTTCGCTCTCTAACCACTTGGGCCATCTCGCCCCCCAGCATACGTTAAACTTCCAAGTGGTTGGAGTTCTTCTAAGCGTTGCTTTTTCGTTTGGGCTCTGGTTTCCGTCATACCGATTGTGTTGTAGTGTCATTTATATCGTTGGTATGATTTCTGAATAGATTATCGTCTCACACTGTGCTCTCTCACCGTTCTGTTTCAGGCGTTCGTTTTCGAACCTCCCGAGTATCACCGAACCTGATGTCTTCCGACGACTCAAAGTCAGTGTAGCTTCTCCGGAGACGGAGCATGAAGTGAACCACGAATTGTCCAATGAGAATCTCACTGACCGCTCCGATCAAGACAGTCTAATACCGTCACCCGTCGCGCATCACGACCAACAGGCACAGATCAACGGCGTGAAGCCGTTCGAGCAGAATGAACTGAAGCCGTTCAATGGTGTGGACATTCATCGTGATTACGTCAAACGGTTGCTCGCCGAGTCCACCGCCGTGCTCACTGCAAAACATCATTGCCTGGTTACTGGTCTGTCTCCTGTTATTGATGCGGTATCCTGGAAAACCGGCGTATTCTCACCGGATAAAGAGAACACCTTGGTTCCCAAACCTGCCTTAAGCACGCCTAGTCCGTCCAAGACGCGGATAGACCGTGTGTGTACCTCTAGTGCGCAGATAGCACACCCACTGAAGTCCGCATCCACGAGGCGAAAGCAGCCGCGTGGTGTGTCTGTTGATGAACGGTTAACCGATCCTCTTAATAGATCTTTCGACTCTCCCGGCGTCAAACCTGACGATTCCCTTGTACAGGATGGAAGAACTCTCTCTAGCCCCCCATCCCCTACCAAACGCTCAGTTTGTCCACCCGCAACTGAGCATACCGAGCCACAACCTATGGACGAAGGACCAGACAACAAATCTCAGGTATTTTGTGTCTTTCCGACCAGCAGGCAAACCAATAACCAAATGCATCCACCCCAACCGAACACTGATTCTTCAAATTCTGTAAAGACTGAGCCACGCAATACTTCCAATTCTTCAGATTCCCTCAAACTTGAGGAAGGAAAATCCGAGTGCATTTCCATTAGAAAGGAGACCGAAATCGATCCCATGGTGAATTGTCGTCATCTGGCCCCGAACCCCATCGCCAATACCACCGCTTCTGACCGCGTCTTCATGCCGCCTCCAGACTCGGCCACTGCCAAAGCCAAACGACAAAACCTCCACACAGTCGAGGCGAAAGAGGACACCGGTGATGTTGTCAACGAAACAAAATCAGCCGGTACTTGCTCCGCTACTTCCGAATCTCTATCACCAAGTGCTTTGGATAAAGAGCAAACAAAATCGGCTCCAGGTACCACCACCCTCCGTGCCTTTCCAGATAAGCGTTGGCTATTCTCAGATGTCGCTTTAGCCAAAGTTCGTGCAAAGGTACAGAATGTCGTTCAACGGTTCAACACTAACAAGGCGCACAATCGGCAGGATCTTCTTGAAAATATCAGGGCAACTTTGGCTGCCTTTGTTGCCTCAGGTGCGAACCGAGACCAGCCAAAGGATGCCGAAGGACGTAAATCTCGACCTCGTCCACTTATGGGTGTTCTGCTTGTTCCTCTCTCGACCGACGGTCCATTCCTTCCTCAGCGAACGGAAGATGTTGCTCTCCCTCAGTCGGTTCCGCTGGAGCAACCCAGTCGATTGGATGGTTGGAGTATGACATCACCTTCGCTGGCCAATACCGTGTCCTTCACAACTGTTGGAGTGCAGTGTGAATTCCCCTCTCTCAGGTCTTCTGTTTCATCAACCCCGTTGTCGTCTCCCCCACTCGATGCACTATCTAATCCACGTGTATCACAATCAACCCTTGGACGATTACCGCAGTGTGCCAACTGTCATGACATATCGCGAAAAAGTCACGTATCATCTCCCTCGGCGACGGCATCCATCGTGAATTCTAAATTTTTGGAGGCCCAAGATCTGTTGCTCGCTGTGGAAGAAGAAAATCGGTGAGTTGCGCTTTCTTTCTGTGAATAACACCGATACATGTTTCGAATATTATCGTGCGCGAACGGTATCCATGTGTAAATGTATGGATGATGTAATGCTAGCCCACCATGTAGATGCCATCTCTCATTCAAGGAAAATTTGGCAAAAGCGCCATCGGAAACGTCTGGAAGCTTTATCTTTTAGTATCTCATGGAGGCTATACAATGCCAAAAATGGATAAGATAATAATAGATAATCGTTCAGCTGTAGAACCCTTTCCGTGCCTGACTGCCATGCCACCTGAAGGAAGCACGAGGGCTGGGATACTGCCAGGTTGCCCAAACCCAGACAGGGGAAACCCAGAGGCAGAAGTCGGGTTCGAACCACGGACCTTCCGGTCAGTAAATTAGAGCTCTGACCACTTGAGCCATCTCGCCCAAAATGCCAAAAATACCTAGACCTCGTAATCTCTTTCATTTCACCAAGCCATACTTTGTCCACATCTTGGCTTCGAAACTGTCCGTTTGGCGTTAGCATGTAAACAATAAGTCCACATACACACCTCGTGACGGGTGCGCGTAGTGCCAGACGCTTCTCAAAAATTGCCCGCCTTCCTTCTCCGCCAGATACCCACCGGTTCAACTCGAATTTACCTATCTATGTCTGAATTGCAATTGCATCTACAGTGCTTGGATTCACGAATGGGTTGCACATCTTGAAGTAGACAGTAGACGTGACCTACCGTCATCGTCGTTGTTTACGATAACGCTAGTCTCGAACCCTGGCGCTCGTGGATCCTCAACATTTCACCCGTCATCATCATCATCGACAGCATGACATCAGTGTTTAACACCGATGCTTCACTGCCGTACAACCATGA